TTCTTACTATAGTTCTGACAGTTTTACTGTCCCTTTCTAGGTATAGTTCTGACTGTCTTACTGTCCTTCTTCTAGCTATAGTTCTGACTCTCTTACTGTCCTTCTTCTAGCTATAGTTCTGACAGTCTTACTGTCCTTCTTCTAGCTATAATTCTGACAGTTTTACTGTCTTTCTTCTAGCTATAATTCTGACAGTTTTACTGTCCCTTTCTAGCTGACTGTCTTACTGTCCTTCTTCTAGCTATAATTCTGACAGTTTTACTGTCGCTTTCTAGCTATAGTTCTGACTGTCTTACTGTCCTTCTTTTAGCTATAATTCTGACAGTTTTACTGTCCCTTTCTAGCTATAGTTCTGACTGTCTTACTGTCCTTCTTCTAGCTATAGTTCTGACTCTCTTACTGTCCTTCTTCTAGCTATAGTTCTGACTGTCTTATTGTCCTTCATTTAATTATGTTGCAGACTGTCTTACTGTCCTTCTAGCTATATTGCTGGCTGTTCCTTACACAGCTATAGTGTTTTCTTTATCACAGCTATATTGCTGTCTCTATCACACCTATATTGCTGTCTCTATCACACCTATATTGCTGTCTCTATCACACCTATATTGCTGTCTCTATCACGGATATAATGCTGTCTTTATCACGATTATATTGCTGTCTCTAAAATAGCAATAGTATTGTCTCTATAATAGCTATAGGGCTGCCTGTATAGCTGTGCCGACTTTCCCCTCACAGCTACAATATTGATACTGACCCGTCCTACAGCTACTTTGTTAACTGTCCCCCACAACCGACCCTTCTCTATTCCCCCCTCCACATTACATGGCAGATAGAGAAACACCCAATCGAAAACTCGATAACAGCAGATAGACACTTCAAGGAGACCCGTTCTTTGTAACATCAACAATGAGATGACGTCTATAAATTACAATTGTATTCAAATTACCCAAGTCTATATGCAGTTTCAAAAGAAAAAAAAATATTTAAATTTTCTTTTTGTCTGGAAATTATTTTTGCACATGTTGTTTTTCACTTAAAACGATAACATACCTCATAATTTGAATAACAAAACTCGATACTACCAGATGTTGCAGAACGCTGTTTTAAGTATATAACTGGTGTTTACTTGGACTGGACACCAGAGTTTGTGCCAGCTACCAGATTCAAGTGTTTTATCAACATGAAAACTCTTGTTCTTGTCGGTCTTCTGTCCGTTGTCGGCGTCACACTGACCGTGGCCCAAATTACCATAGTCAAGGGTACGTTTTTCTTCTTATCAGATGGGGTTTCTAACTTGATTTTAATCTTGAATATCTTATGTCTGTTTTACAGTCATAGTTCTAATGTTGAAAATTACAGACTTTAGTACATAATATAAATATTCACCACTGACATTGTTTTGTTTCTTAAAGAAATAGATGTTTGCTTTTAAATAATAGACGAATACTATTCAATATTATTTAGACAGATATTTTGTTATAAATTAAATACCTGAATTTTATGACACTTTGTAGAAAAACTTATTTAACGGTGGACATATTGTTAAAATTAAAAGATGGTGCTTTTGGTTTACATTAAAATTAAAAGATGGTACTTTTAGTTTACATTCGACACAATTTTTTAAAAAAATGTGTTTCATACTCTAGAGACAATTACATTTAATTCTAAAAGAGAATTGCGAAAAAAAAACAATGTTTTAGTATTTTTGGATTTAAGTGTTTAACTTCTTAACAATCTAATGGTATCCAAATGTTGATTGAATTGATTTATAAACGAACTAGATTCTATATATCTAGCGTTTCACACACTTAGTAAGTTATGTAGTCCTACATTTTTTCTAAACAAAAAAAACGGTAGTGTTATTGTTAGATCTGGTATCGACGCGAGTTTCGTTTACAAATTTGAAAATAAAAGTCACTACACAAAGTATTGCCTAATTCCGTTTCTACCCAAGACATGTAGAGCAGGTAATGTAATGTTACCTTCTTCTTCTTCTCGTTCTTAATTATTAGTGTTGAAGGGGATCGAGAATTATCTGCCAGTGCGTTTGAACTCGAGACTTTGTTCAAATTTATCAACCATGAGCTTTTTGCCGACTCGACCACGCCTCCAACACAATTAAGCGTTACGTGTCAGCTGGTTATGCGCCATTGAGGCCATTGACTCCGATTTCAGCCTGCTTTTCTTTTTGGATTTGCTTCCATAGCCTTTGTCCAACCAAGAACAAACTACAAGGCAGCAGTTGTTTAATTTTGGAGTTTCTTAAAAGAAAACTGAATTCCATCTGTTGTTTCTCCATGACAGGGCCGTGTCCTAATGGGGTGAAAGTGGGAGGCATGTGGTATGAGGCAGGCTGCAAGAAATGCCAGTGTCTCAAAGACGCGTACTCATGTGCAGGGTAAGTTACATCATTGGCTAGTCGATGTACATTCTAACGTAGTCAATGGGCTGTTTTGTTACTCAGGTATAGTTTACTTTTACATATATAAAAATATGTATTTATGTATAAACACACACAAATAAATTTAATATATATATATATATATATATATATATATATATGTATATATATATATATATATATATATATATATATATATATATATATATATATATATATATATATATATATATATGTATATATATATATATATATATATATGTATATATATATATATATATATATATGTATATATATATATATATATATATATATATATATATATATATATATATATATATATATATGTATATATATATATATATATATATATATATGTATATATATATATATATATATATATATATATATATATATATATATATATATATATATATATATGTATATATATATATATATATATATATATATATATATATATATATATATATATATATATATATATATATATATATATATATATATATATATATGTGTGTGTGTGTGTGTATGTATGTTACGGTATATTTACAATATAATTACGGTAATAATTACATTAATAATAATACAGTGAATATCTATATATATATATATATATATATATATATATATATATATATATATATATATATCCTTACAGTTGTCCGAATATGGCCTTTCCTGCAAATTGTATTGTCACATTCGAGAACAAGGGCAACAACCCTGACTGCTGCAAGCCAACCTTTAACTGCACAAGTACCAAAGGTTGAGAAAACGGAAAAGTTATCACGGAGAAAATAAAGAAGTCCAGTTGATATGAGTTTTTGTTTCCTTTATTTGTCATATGTTCTCTCTGCATGTAGCAGATGACTGTTATAGATAGAACGGTTTAGTAAAATACCTTTGTGTGCAACTGAGAAAATACGGAAAGAAACAAAACCAGCACACAAGCAGGCATACACATACAAAAAACATGCACACACTCACCCATCCAAAATACAAACACGCTCTACCATAAACACACAAACTCACACTCAACGACACAAACGCACACATGTTCACCTATACACACATTCGTCAATAAATTACAAGGGTGTGGGCTAGAGAGTTTCAGCAACAATAAAACTCACACAAAGGCGGTGTTGTGTCGACATGCTAGGAAACGACTATTGAGTCAACAACACCACACATGTTACCGTGCACAGCCTATACTGGTTACATCTGCATAATTTACGTAAGGGCGTAGTTCTACGTGAGTCTTTGTGAGGGGTAAGTTAACTAATTAAATGTCAATTACTGATTGGACATATCACTTGGCAATTGTTACTGATGGCTTCAGTGATGTAACTGCAGGTGTAGGCTATTTGCATACGAAGATGTGGATGTGCTTACAGATGTGGATGTAGATAAGTATGTGGATAAGGATGTGGATGTGGATGTGAATATGAATGTGAATGTGAATGTAAATGTGAATGTGAATGGGAATGGGAATGGGAATAGGAATGTGAATGTAAATGGGAATGGGAATGGGAATGTGAATGGGAATGTGAATGTGAATGTGAATGTGGATGCGAATGCGAATGCGAATGATAATGTGAATGTGAATGTGAATGTGAATCTGAATGTGAATGTGAATGTGAATGTGAATGTGAATGTGAATGTGAATGTGAATGTGAATGTGAATGTGAATGTGAATGTGAATGTGAATGTGAATGTGAGTGTGAGTGTGAATGTGAGTGTGAATGTGAATGTGGATGTGGATGTGGATGTGGATGTGAATGTGAATATGAATATGAATGTGAATGTGAATGTGAATGTGAATGTGAATGTGAATGTGAATGGGAATGGGAATGGGAATGCGAATGTGAATGTGAATGTGAATGTGAATGTGAATGTGAATGTGGATGCGGATGTGAATGTGAATGTGAATGTGAATGTGAATGTGAATGTGAATGTGAATGTGAATGTGAATGTGAATGTGAATGTGAATGTGAATGTGAATGTGAATGTGAATGTGAATGTGAATGTGAATGTGAATGTGAATGTGGATGCGGATGTGGATGCGGATGTGGATGTGGATGTGGATGAGAATGTAATTGTGTATGTAATTGTGGATGTAATTTTTGATGTAGATGTGAATGTAATTGTGGATGTGGATATGGATGTATTATGTGGAAGTGGATTTGTATGTAATTGTGGATCTGAATTTGGATGTGGGTGGAAATGTGGATCTGGATGAGCAAGAAGAGGATGAGGGTGAAGACGAAGATGAGGAAGTGTTTGTGGATGGTTAATGGTATAAGTAATTATAAAAAATATTCGTCCTTGTCAACATCCTAAGCGCCTCAAAATCCAAAACATCTAAACATCTAAAGAGAGTAATGGAATTTCGACAAAAAAGAGTTAATTTAAAAATAATCACGTGTTAAAATGTAATTGAAACCCTAAAAAAACTGCTTAATTGAAACACAAACACGGAACAGGCCGGGTGTTTGAAAAAAGAATTTGACTTAACTATGTTTTAACGACTGATTGATTGTTCTAACGTTATATAACCTGAGACCAACATTGGTCAGGCACTTCATCAACTAATGAAACATCCCTCATCGTTTTTCTGGGAAAATGAACTGCATAGAAATCTTTTTCGTCGTTTGCTTCACACTGACGATTGTGCAGTGTAGCGCAGAGGATAATGGTACGGAAATGTTTAATTCAAAATTAAGATGTGTAATGATGTTTATGTGTTTAAATTTGTTGGTTTGTAGTGTTTGGGTTAGATTAATTTAACCTGTAGTGATATTATTTTTGTTAAGTGATAAGCTATGAAAACCGTTTAAGCTCATGATACTGGTTCTATTACTGTCAAGCAGTGTTTCTTCCAGACTTTTTTCTCGGGGGGGGGGGGGGGGGGGGCACTTGAAATTTTCGGGAGGGGGGGGGGGAAGCGGTTGACTTTCTTCGGGGGGGGGGGGCACTGTTAATTAAATGTATATATTTTCTATATAAATTCCATTTCGTTGGGGGGGGGGACGGTAGACTGTGTTTTTATCTTGTGAAGCTCTTCACCTACCATTTTATTATACGCGTACTTTGCTTTGATCAAACGAAATAAATTGAACTGCAATAATAAAGCGGGAGTGATCTCCCCTAAACTCTCTCGAATATTCTTATATAACACTACGGGGGATGGCAACTCGGGAAATAGACATGATTTAAATCTATTTTTAATTACTTAATTTTTTTACTTTCTCGTATATGCGAAGTATAGAGAAAGTCTTGTAATCGTGCAGAAAAAAATCGAGATGTTTACAAATCTAACGTTTTACACCTCACTGATACGGAAAAACATAATTTTGCAATCTTGTTCGTATGTCTGTGTGTATGTGTGTGTCTGTGTGTCTGTGTATCTGTAAACACGATAACTTGAGTACCGTTACAGCTAGGTTGATGAAATTTCATACATAAGTATTTTAACAAAATTGTAGATCCGTATCAACTTTTGAGCGATTTCCGATAACCGGAAGTGGTACTTTTTACTTTGAATTTTTCAAAAGCATATAACTTGAGTACTATTTCAGATAGATAAATGAAATTTCACGTGTAAGTAAAAGTCAAATTTTGAGTAATTTCCGTTTACCGGAAGTACTAATTTACACAATTTCGATTTCTTAAAAAACTAATGTAAATTTATTAATTACTAATAAAGTACTAATAATATTCCGCACTATTATGCACATTTTATTTGGCGTTCAATGGTGTGCAATTCGTTTTTTTAGGAGATTTTATTCTATTTTAAAAAGTTTAAGTATTTAAAATAGATTAAAATTCATGTCTATATTCCGCAAATTACTCAAACTTTGACAGAAGGCAGGAAATTAGATTTTTTACTTATGTGTGAAATTTCTTTTATCGATCTGAAACACCTAATGAAGCTATGGGAAAGCTAACGACTTAATGAAGCTAGGAATAGCTAATCACATAATGAAGCTAGGAATAGCTAACCACTTAATGAAGCTAGTAATAGCTAACCACTTAATGAAGCTAGGAATAGATAACCACTTAATGAAGCTAGGAATAGCTAACCACTTAATGAAGCTAGGAATAGATAACCACTTAATGAAGCTAGGAATAGCTAACCACTTAATGCAGCTATGGAAAGCTAACCACTTTAATAAAGCTAGGAATGTTAGAGCTTTGATTATGTATTATTTGTTTATACAATATCACTGTATGTCTTGCAGACATTTTTACAAACATGTGACGTTTTTATATTGTTTATTTTTTTACGTAACTTTTAAAAGTAGTCGATATATAACGTCATACATTAAACGAAAGAGCTCTGACATAAAACCCATTTGCCTTAAGTTCCTTTGTTTTAAACCCATTTGCCTTAAGTTCCCATAGTTTATTGCTATACACATAGAAACCTATTTGCCTTAAGTTCCCTTGTTTTATTGCAACCCACCAGGTTGTCCGGCCGGCGTCAACCCTGGCGAGTCCTGGTTTGAAGAGGGTTGTATCAAGTGCGACTGTTACGAAGATTGGTCGGGATGCGTCAAGTAAGGAAATCTCGGAAATATGTTAACTGCTAGAATTACAACATACAACATTACATTAAGAGATGCTATTATGCATTAATATTGTATTAAATTGATATATCAATAATTGTACATTATCTATATTCATCAACATGTGCATATATTATATACATATATATATATATATATATATATATATATATATATATATATATATATATATATATATATATATGTATATATATATGTATATATATATATATATATGTATATATATATATATATATATATATATATATATATATATATATATATATATATATATATATATATATATATATATATTCCTTTATTATCCCTTAGCTGCCCTACGATGGCCGTGGAAGATAACTGTGAGGTCTTCTACGACACAGAGGGAGACTATCCCGATTGTTGTACACCAAGGGTAGTCTGTAATGAAGAGAAGAAATAAACAGTGTAATGTAGAACACGGACTCATCTGAAATAAAGATATACTGCAAACAGTACATGATTTGTTTTTACTTACTTCCATTGTAAATTAGTCTCTTGAGAAACTTTAGACACCACATTATTGGAGTCGCGATAAATAGGTTCATTTTTAAAGAATAAAAGTAGCTTTTCTGTCTCACACCACCTCAGCCCCCCCCCCCCCCCCTCACTGAAACCCGCACACTCGGCTTAAAGCTGTTTTTCTGACCCTCCCCCACACACACATGCGCAAAGCTTTTAATGCAAACTCACCCCACTCCACCCACCGCCATACTGTTGTCTCGTCGCCCACTCGTCCCCATCCCCTCCTTACCTTACAGCTTCATACTGTCTCAGTTCCAACTTCCCACCACCTCCCCCCTCCAAAGCTAAAGTTTTAAGGTCTCAACCCCCCCCCCCACACACACACCCTCTCCTATAAAGCTATAGTGCTGTTAGTAGTGTCACATTGTCATCTTTTCCCACCCCTCCAACCATTGGCGGAACTAGAAAAAAATGGCCACCCCGCAAAAAAAAAATTTAAGCCCCCCCCCATATATATATATATATATATATATATATATATATATATATATATATATATATATATATATGTATATATTCAAACTCAAAATACGAACATGGGATACACATTTCTGGCCTGTTCGGGTTTTGAAATAAAAATTCAATTAAAACAGATTACATCATTATGTCATGTGTGTAGTGCATTAGTCTGTTTTGTGAAAATCAGTCTTATTTTATCTCTGCTATAAGGTCTCTTAACATCTAGTCGGTTAAAAGAATATAAAACCTGAAAGCTTTGTATAAGTAATGGTGTCTCGTGTTATGTTTATTTTTATGTTATTTTGTATTTATATTATTAATTTTAAATATATTTCCTTTTTATACAGTGTCATTCTTTAGTAAGTACTTTATACAAAAATAATAGTTAAGAGAAGTAATTGCTTTTTAATTTGTTTAGTACAAATCTATTAAAAGGAGCTTCTGGGCACCCCTATCTGACTATTTAAAAAAGGGAAATAAGTCACGAAAGTGGTTTGAACGTTTGCTTATCTTTAATAAGTTTGATTATAGGAGAAAGAGGACTCGGCTTTCACAGTTTTTTTTTAAATCAAAGGGAAAAGAATATACAAGAGGGTGGGGTGGTGTCTATAGAATAAAGATAAACCATAGCCGCAGCTATGGTAATCTTTTTTTTTACAAAACAACCATCAAGTAAAAAATGCAAGAAAATTATTTTTCATTTTTTTTAAAAAATGATTATGGTCGGCTGTGGGCCCCTAAATGGCGTGGGCCCCCCGCATTGCGGGGTCTGACGGCACTGTAGTTCCGCCCCTGCCTCCAACCCTCTCACGTAAAGCTATGGTGCTGTTAGTATTGTGACATTGTCATCTCTTCCCAACCTTCCCCCCCCCCACCCCCATACCCCCTCCTATAAAGCTATAGTGCTGTTAGTAGTGTCACATTGTCATCTTTTCCCACCCCTCCAACCCTCTCACGTAAAGCTATGGTGCTGTTAGTATTGTCACATTGTCATCTCTTCTCCCCCTCTCACGTAAAGCTATGGTGCTGTTAGTAGTGTCACATTGTCATCTCTTCCCACCCCCACCCCCACACCCTCTCCCCTAAAGCTATGGTGGTGTTAGTATCATCACATTGTCATTGCTTCCCACACCCAACCCCCACACCACCCCCACATACACACACATCTATAGCACCGATTGTCTCAATGTCCCTTCCACAGTTACTATGTATGCAGGCTGTCACCACGTATAATGAACACAGATTTATAATTTACTGTTTACATTTTTTTTAAAAATCACACTCGCCCGCATGGAGCTTCATCTAGATCAGGGGTCTCCAAACTACGAAGTCCTCTCATCCGGCCCGCGGAGATCTTTTTGTCCAAGGAAATAACGTTTGTTGGTGATGGCTGAGGAACCTGCGCAGAAAAATCAAAGACATGCCTGGAAGAAACTGGCCCCCGAACTGAAATTTGATAGTTAATGCGGCCCTCGGACTGAAAAGTTTGGAGACCCCTGATCTAGATCTACTGCGGACTGTCACTGTGGGTATTTAAATTTAAACCCGGCGATCTCACAGTTTAGCTTGTCTCAGCTGCCTGCTACTGGCATTTAACCAACATGAAAGCACTCGTTCTCGTCAGCCTGCTGATCAGGACCTGCTTCACACTAACCTTCGAGGACACCACTAGTCATTACAATACGACGGGTACGTTTTGGTGCCCAATGTAGCGACTAGTCTGTTTTCAAAATTAGTTGTTTTTTTTTTTTGGGTTTTTTTTTTTTTTTTTTTTAATTTGTTACTGTTTTGCTACCCAATGTAGCTGCTTGTTTGCTTTCAATATTACTTGTTGGTTTTTTTTTTGTTTTTTTTTTTCGTTTACAGTTTTGGCGGCGTTCTGCAGAGGACTTTTTAAAAATTCTTTTTAAATTAGAATTTAAAAAGAATGCCGTTTTCTTATAAATTGACAATTCTTGAAGACAGACTTGTTCTAAATTAGAGACAGATTTTTGGTCTACTTAGGAGACGGACATTTTATTACATTGTAATGGCAGACTTAATGTCTATAGTTAAGTCTTATATTAATTGTTCCTACAAAAAAAACATATCTTGCAAAATATTTTTATAACTGGCATTTCATTACAGTTTTTTTTTGTCTACAGTAAACTCAAACATTTTTGCATATTTTAAAGGGAAAAAGTAATTATATTAAAGGTGGACAGGCATTTTTTTTATTAATACAAAAATATAAAAAAAAACTCTTTAGTGATGTTGGATGCAAAAAGATAAGAGAATCATATCTGATATCATACGTTATAGAACTGATATATCTACATATACGTGGCATACAAGCTGACAACTTAAATTAAATCAAATCGGATTTCATGAGTCATTGAATGAAGTTACTGACAAAAATGCTGTCGTCTTAAAATCTTGGTTAAAAAAGGTTAGACCTTTGGGTCTAATGTCCTGTACCGTAGCTTTGTTTTAGTCACCAGACGTAAAACTTACTTAGTCCGTTCACTCGCAGTTAATCTTTACCCTCCTGTTCAGACTCGGCCGAAAAAGTTAAATTTCGTGATTCCCCGAAAAATCTCCAGAAATTTTTAGCGCAATTTCCATTCTGGAGAATTGCGTTTATTAACCCGTCATTTCTGGATGTATGAATGTATGAATGTATGAATGTGTTTCCGCAGGTTTAAGTCGTATCTCCTCCTAACGAAGCAATATCGAGGACTAGTTCCAAAAGCAATAATGTTAAGCAAGTTACCAGGATGATAGTGGGCCAAAAACATTCCGGGTTTCTTTCATGGATATCCCGGAAAAGCCAAAAAACCTCGAAAAATGCAGTTTTTGGCCCTTATCTCGGCAACCAGACCACTAAGCGACTTGAAACACGTACCAATCGATTCCTGCCATAATGTAGAACAATATTGCCGAAGAAAGTTTTCAAAAATATCCTTTCGTTCGGTCACAAAAAAAAATTTGAATTAATTAAAATTTAGACCGAATTAGTAGGCATGTTTATCCAACCACACCACACGCGTCATCACGTTCAATGGCTGCGACATCACGTTCGGTAGCTAGGCGCGCGCAATAGTTTTTAGTCATGTAACTCTATTGTAAATAAAACATGTATTTTAACCTTGCTCTTGATTTACGCTACGACAGAGCTATTTTTAGATAACATAAGGAAATTGCGCTAAAATTGTCACTAGACTTTTTAATTAACTTGTTTATTCTGCTTCGATTCCCAAGTTGGCTGATAGTAAAGTTAGATTGTGTTCTATTGTTCTATAGGAGGGGTGTATTCTGTTGTTCTATAACAGGGGTGTGTTCTATTGTTCTATAACAGGGGTGTGTTATATTGTTATATAGGAGGGGTGTGTTCTATTGTTCTATAACAGGGGTGTGTTCTATTGTTCTATAACAGGGGTGTATTCTGTTGTTCTATAACAGGGGTGTGTTCTATTGTTCTATAACAGGGGTGTATTCTGTTGTTCTATAACAGGGGTGGTTCTATTGTTCTATAACAGGGGTGTATTCTGTTGTTCTATAACAGGGGTGTATTCTATTGTTCTATAACAGGGGTGTATTCTGTTGTTCTATAACAGGGGTGTGTTCTATTGTTCTATAACAGGGGTGTGTTCTATTGTTCTATAACAGGGGTGTGTTCTATTGTTCTATAACAGGGGTGTGTTCTATTGTTCTATAACAGGGGTGTGTTCTATTGTTCTATGAGATAGGTGTATGATATTACAGTTAGATTGTGTTATGTCGTTTTATAACAGGGGCGTGTGATATTAAAGTTAGATTGTGTTATGTCGTTTTAACTTGTTTATTCTGCTTCGATTCCCCAGTTGGCTGATAGTAAAGTTAGATTGTGTTCTATTGTTCTATAGGAGGGGTGTATTCTGTTGTTCTATAACAGGGGTGTGTTCTATTGTTCTATAACAGGGGTGTGTTCTATTGTTATATAGGAGGGGTGTGTTCTATTGTTCTATAACAGGGGTGTGTTCTATTGTTCTATAACAGGGGTGTGTTCTATTGTTCTATAACAGGGGTGTGTTCTATTGTTCTATAACAGGGGTGTGTTCTATTGTTCTATGAGATAGGTGTATGATATTAAAGTTAGATTGTGTTATGTCGTTTTATAACAGGGGCGTGTGATATTAAAGTTAGATTGTGTTATGTCGTTTTATAACAGGGGCGTGTGATATTAAAGTTAGATTGTGTTATGGCGTTTTATAACAGGGGCGTGTGTTATTAAAGTTAGATTGTGTTATGTCGTTTTATAACAGGGGCGTGTGTTATTAAAGTTAGATTGTGTTATGTCGTTTTATAACAAGGGCGTGTGATATTAAAGTTAGATTGTGTTATGTCGTTTTATAACAGGGGCGTGTGATATTAAAGTTAGATTGTGTTATGTCGTTTTATAACAGGGGCGTGTGTTATTAAAGTTAGATTGTGTTATGTCGTTTTATAACAGGGGCGTGTGATATTAAAGTTAGATTGTGTTATGTCGTTTTATAACAGGGGCGTGTGATATTAAAGTTAGATTGTGTTATGTCGTTTTATAACAGGGGCGTGTGATATTAAAGTTAGATTGTGTTATGTCGTTTTATAACAGGGGCGTGTGATATTAAAGTTAGATTGTGTTATGTCGTTTTATAACAGGGGCGTGTGTTATTAAAGTTAGATTGTGTTATGCCGTTTTATAACAGGGGCGTGTGATATTAAAGTTAGATTGTGTTATGTCGTTTTATAACAGGGGCGTGTGATATTAAAGTTAGATTGTGTTATGTCGTTTTATAACAGGGGCGTGTGATATTAAAGTTAGATTGTGTTATGGCGTTCTATAACAGGGGCGTGTGATATTAAAGTTAGATTGTGTTATGTCGTTTTATAACAGGGGCGTGTGATATTAAAGGTAGATTGTGTTATGGCGTTTTATAACAGGGGCGTGTGTTATTAAAGTTAGATTGTGTTATGTCGTTTTATAACAGGGGCGTGTGATATTAAAGTTAGATTGTGTTATGTCGTTTTATAACAGGGGCGTGTGATATTAAAGTTAGATTGTGTTATGTCGTTCTATAACAGGGGCGTGTGATATTAAAGTTAGATTGTGTTATGTCGTTTTATAACAGGGCCGTGTCCAACGCCATACCTGGTAGGAGAGCATTACTTTCGGCCCGACTGCCAACTGTGCCTATGTTATGATGGCTTCTACACCTGCTTTATGTAAGTTACACCAGGCTCCAGTATATAGACGAAAAATGACAGAATATCTTTTATTTTTTAATGTCTCGTATAGGAAGTATAGAGAAAGTATTGTGATCCTGCAAAATCTCAACGTTTTTTACCTCCCTGAGTCAAAAAGCTCTTATTTATGTCTGTGTGTGTGTTTTTTTTTTACATGAATACCGTTCCAGTTAGGTTGACAAAAATTTTATATGTAACTTTTCTATCAAATGTCTTGTTCTGGAACAACTTTTGAGCAATTTCCGGTAACCGGCAGTGGTACTTACTGTACATCAGATTTCTCAAAAGCTGAAAACTTCAGTACCAAATTTCATCCAATTCCTTATACAAGAGTAGAAAGGATAAGAACGAATCGATAACCTTGCATGCTATTCTGTACCCTTTAAAAAAATTATATCTTTCGTATTCTCCTCCATTGCGGAGAATATGTATATACATACAAGGGAATGTGACTGTAAATATATGCATGTATATATACATATAAGCATATATATATATATATATATATATATATATATATATATATATATATATATATATATATATATATGTGTGTGTGTGTGTGTGTGTGTGTCTTTGTACAAATATATATATATATATATATATATATATATATATATATATATATATATATATATATATATATATATATATATATATATATAAATCAAATGTCTCCCCTAAAAGGTGTCCCAGAGTGAACATATACAGCTCAACTTGTAAAAGAGTAATACAAAATTCTGGACTGTACCCTGACTGCTGTGTAAAATGTTCCGCAACTTGATGAACGTGACCTGGGGTGTGACCAAAACAAAATAAAGCAATGAAACCTGATTAGCTTTTGTTTCGTTTATGAGTTTTTAGTGATGGAAACAGACTGTACATAACTGTGACAAGGGTCTATTGCTAATTCCCGAAAGACACTTGCCCGGATGGGACAAACGCCCGAATGGACACAGGCCTGAGAGGGACAAATGGACACTTTCCTGAATGCGTCCCGCTAGTAGATCGGTATATAATATTTATGTACAACTTATTAATCTCACCCTGAAAAAGAAGATGATTAACAATAAAACTTCACTTCTTTGTAACAATCATAATGTATTTCGAAATATGTATCCCAAACTTATTTTTCAAAAAGAGGTAATAATTTGTTTTAATAAATGAATAAAAAAATATTTAGAAGCGAATTAGTATGAGACAGTTGATCGTGCAAAAAGCCATTTTAATAATGCCGTATTTTGCATTAATAGTGATTTTATAAAAAAAAACATAAAACTTTTCAATTTGAACTGATAGTCATTGGGGATGTGACCTACTTAGGTCACGTCATTTTTATTTTGACATTGTATAATTCCTTATATGGAATGATGGTGTAACACCTGGGGTTTTTCCATTGACTATTAAGGTGTTTGAGACATAGAAAATTTCCATTAAAATCTGATTGAATGATTCTGATCAGATGATTATCCCAACCAATGGTGACATGAGTTGAGGATAACCTCCCCTGTCACAGAAGTCTTTAATTGCCCTGCAAACTCGCAACACGAGGCAGTTTTTCTTGACCTAAAAGACTACGAGGCCGTTTTACCTTAGTCAGGCAGCCGTCCATTTTGTCCGGCTATAGACTCTGACCATTTGAACGTGAGAGTACTTAAGACCTGGGTGTGCCTTGCTTTCTTCAGTTGATTTAGTCTTCTAGTTTAATATTACTTGTCGCTAAGTAAGTCTAGAAGCTACAGCAGTGTTGTGTGGCCTGTAGCTGTTCTTTAGACAGTGTAGAAATCTGTGATAGTGATTTTTCCTACATTTTGTAAGTTGGGTTTTTGATATTTTATACATTAAATATTTTATCTAGTTCATCTTTGTGTTTTGCCACAACTGAGTTCGCTGATTAAAAGGTCGTATGTAGATTGGATGAGTGTTAAATACAATAGTATCACTAGCTCCCCTAGACATTAAATTCGAGCCCTAGTGGGTCGTTGTGTTAAGTGTTCATCCACTTAGGCCGTAAGGCATTTGCATATGACCCCGAAAAAAGAATCCGGGGACGTTCTCCTTCTATTTAGCTGATAGATAGGTTAACGTTACAAAGTGGGAGCTCGCCGAGATTTAATCTGTCGTTCCAGTTGTTGGTCATATCAGTTGAATACTAAGTTTAGTCTGGTCTAGTTGTTTTTTTATCCAGTGTAGCGCCGTGGTCTTACAACGCGCGCTCAGGCTAGAGTATCTAGGTCAAATAAGCAGACGTGTCACGTCCTACATTTAGAGGTCAAGTACACGGCCCAACGCTGTGTAGTAATTTAAAGGATCTAGGCTTGTTGTGATTTTCAAGTAGTGTTATGGAGTCTTTTTTGGCTAATCCTACTGTTGAAGATGTAGAAAAGTTGAGTAGAAAAGTTTTGGTTAGTGTTGTTAAGGAATTGAAATTGGATTATTCTGTTACGCAGAAGTCAGAGGTGTTGAGAGATAAAATTGTTGTTCATTTCATTAATGAAGGAGTATTTGACGAAAGTTTGTTAGCTAGTGTGTTGCTCCGCGAGGAGAAATCTATAGAAGAGAGGGAGCTTTTATTAAAAGAAAAGGAGTTTGAAACTAAAAGTGCTCTAGAGAAACAGGAGTTAGAGGCTAAAATTGCTTTAGATAAGAGGAGGTTGGAATTAGAGTTTGGTCAAGTTAGTGATGTCACTTCTCTGGTAGATCCAAAAAAGTTGTCGGTAGGGCAAGTGATTGCCAAATTTGGGAAATTAGTTCCTAAATTTGATGAAACAGATTTGGTCGTTTTCTTTAACTCGTTTGAGAGTTTAGCGAAGACTTGTGAATGGCCCGAAACCTCCATTACTGCTTTATTGAGTTCTGTCCTTACTGGGAAAGCTGCAAAAACATACCAGGCACTCTCTCACGACGTTCAAAATAACTATAGTTTGGTCAAGACTGCCATTTTAAAGGCCTACGCTCTGACGCCCGAGGCCTATCGGACAAAATTCCGAACACTCCGCAAGTTACCCACACAATCATATGTGGAATTTCTCTTTGAAAAGGAGAAAATATTCTCAAGGTGGCTACACTCTGAGGAAGTTTCTGAGTTTGAGAAACTCAGGTCACTTATCCTAAGGGAAGAATTCCTATCGTCCCTGCCTGAAGAGATACGACTACACATACTGGATAACAAGATAACTGACATCCAGAAGGCTGCTGAGTCGGCTGACACATATATGTTGGTGCATAAGAAACCACCAGTGTCAGGAAACCGCCTCAACCCCGTGCTTCCCCTTTTTGGCAGCAATCCTCCTGTTGGCCAACACGTGAAGGCATTACAGTCCAAAGAGAAACCAAGATCGACTCTCAATCGTCGAGCAGTATGCCAGTTCTGCAAAAGGCCTGGTCATCTTGTCAAGGACTGTTACAAACGTCGTCAATATAACAGAGAGGTGGTGCGTACTTCTGCGCACTATGCTCTATCCCCTCAAGCAGCCAGTTCAACTATGAACTCTAGAATTCTAAAGGACTCTAATCCTAAGTGTCCGCAAGAAGGTAGTCAAGTCTCCACACATTATGTGCAGTCACATTTTGACTGTTCTCGCCACCATCCAGTTTCTGCCGAGTCTACCGATCTCGAGGGATCGAGAAAAGTTGACTTTTCATCTTTTATTGCCGAAGCCATCATTAGCAAACCAGGTGATCCGTTGTCTCAGCGGAATATCACCGTCCTAAGAGACACAGGAGCGTCACAATCACTCCTTTTGAAAAGTTCAATGGACATTACACCTGAGACGAACACCGGAAGGATTTCCATTATCCAGGGGGTGGGGACAAAATCTACTGTCGTCCCTCTACACAAGTTTGCCCTGAAACATCATCTCGTCGAAGGTGAGGTCATTTTAGGTGTGATAGATAGTATTCCTGTCCCAGGAGTACACCTACTTCTAGGGAATGACCTTGCAGGAAGCAAAGTATACCCCTGTACGGTTTCAGACCCTTTGTCAACAGTTCCAGATAATGATTATGAACTGTATCCTGCATGTGCGGTGACAAGAAGCCAGACCAAGCAATTGGCTGACACAACGTCTGAACCACACCCGCCATCATCGTTAAGAAATTCGACTCTCAAACTGGAGTCTATGCTTCCAGAAAATACAAGTCTGGGCTTACCCCTGAGGATATCTCAGGAAGACATCATTAAAGCTCAACAAGTCGACGCGGAACTCAAAGCAACGGTCGAAAAATCTCTATCATCTGACGATGGAGAATATTTCTCCGAGAACGGCCTCTTCTTTCGTCGCGCTATACCAGTGATTGCCTCACCAGCCGAACCATGGTTGGGTAAAAACCAGCTGTGGGTCCCTCCACCTTATCGGCATGAAATACTTAAGCTGGCACATGACCATCCAATGTCAGCGCACCCAGGAGTCACTAAAACGACGGCGAAGATCAAAGAACTGTTCTTTTGGCCCAAAATGAGAAAAGATGTGTCGCGTTACTGTAGAAGTTGCACGAACTGTCAGTTGGCCGGAAAGCCAAACCAGACAATTCCTAAGGCCCCTTTGAGTCCGATTCCTGTGTTAGAAGAACCTTTTTCTAAAATCGTCATGGACTGTGTAGGTCCCTTGCCTAAAACCAAGGCGGGCAACGAGTACCTACTTACCTTTATGTGTTCAAGTACCCGTTTTCCCGAGGCGATTCCCTTACGGAACATTAAGGCAAAGACTGTAGTCAGAGCCATGACCCGGTTCTTCACTACCTTTGGATTACCTAGAATCGTGCAAACAGATCAAGGCAGCAACTTCACCAGTCACCATTTTCAGGAAGCGCTAGCCAAGCTAGGCGTTACCCACATCACCAGCTCAGCCTACCACCCTCAGTCTCAAGGCGTACTTGAGAGGTTCCACCAAACCCTCAAAACCATGCTAAGGACATTCGCTAACAGTAACACCCAATGGGATGAGTCTGTTCCTTGGATTATATTCGCCGCGAGGGACTGTGTCCAGGACTCTTTAGGCTACTCGCCTTTTCAACTTGTGTTTGGACATTCTGTCCGTGGCCCCCTGAAGCTGATACACGAACGTTGGACAGGTACCAGTGATCATCCAGTGGAAAACTTCGACGATTTTCACGTTCGACTGAAAGCCGTGTGCGAAATGGCTCACGAGAACTTAAGAAAGGCCCAAGTTAGAATGAAAGAACTGTATGATAAGAGTTCTTGTAAACGAACATTCAATCCAGGCGACAAAGTTCTTGTGCTAGTGCCTAATCTGAACAATGCGTTATCCTTGAGATATTGTGGACCCTTTACTGTGCATTCAAAATTAAGTGATTTGAACTATGTTGTCAATACGCCCGACAGAAGAAAGAAACAGACAGTGTATCATGTCAACTCACTGAAAAAATATTATGATAATTGTAACAATTTTCAATCCACAGCTAAAATTACTTTACCTGTATGTTCAAATGTTTCTGATGATGTGATACATGATAAATTGAAACCCCCAAAATTGGTAAATTCTTCCTTTTTAGATAATTTGAATGTCCACCTTATGCATTTGTCCACAGAGGAAAGCCAGAGATTGTCCCAATTATTTGAGACATTTCCCTCTATTTTTGGGGATGTCCCCAAAGAAGCGAAAGTTCCACCTCATGATATAGACGTTGGTGACGCAAAACCCATTAAACAACACCCCTATAGAGTTAACCCGGAAGAAGCTGCTTTGATAAAAGATGAAATTGACTATATGCT